ATACAACACACACACACACACATCTATATATATATTGCTGAATGCCAATTGTAAATCACAGACTTATTACTGCACATTTCCACCCTCACCTCCACCCAGAGGAAAGAAATGTCAGATTTGAAATTGAAGAGCAGCGATGTGTCCCCCCACCCCCACCCAGCCCATACTGGCAACTACAACATAAGAGTAAATGAAGGCCTGACATTTTTCCATGATTCATGACAACAGCAGTAACAAAACTGATTCAGGCCTGCCCTCCCACTTCTGCATTTATGAATGTTGATCTAACACCTCTGGAGGAATCAGGTTTGGAAGCCTGCATTAAAGAATCCGCACTCCAGTAATCTTCACACCGCAGTTGGGCAAAAGGGTTATTTGTTTTTTAATTAGGAACTTAGCCATGCTTACAACAGCATATCTAAATTAGTCAAATCCAGGCCTCCATAGGGCCTTGTGTGAGCTGTACCATTTCTTCACCTCTCTCCAAGCAGCATCCTATTTTTGCCAGAGAGATTGCCTAAAGCAGCCCAAACGACAGAGATTGGCATAAGGGCAGATTCTCTATCAGACACTATATTGCCAAAAGTATTCGCTCACCCATCCAAATAACCAGATTCAGTTGTGAGCGAATACTTTTGTATGCTATTATTCTGCCAATGACAGATAACACTCTACAGTGGTCTATGGGGGGGGGGGAGCAGGAGAAAAATGGAATCATGCTCAAGGAATGTTAGGGGGGAAAAGACAATCATGGCAATCCCATTGATCAGATGGAAGAGGAAGGAAGGAGAGATGCTTTTCATGGTAGAATGGAGTCAGTCTCCCCCCCCTCCCCTCCCCGGGGAGAGAGAAGCGAAGAGGATCGGCAGGGAACACACCTTCCAAGGGAGGCAAAAACCACCAGGTCTCCATGGTGACCACAACATTAGAAAGGAGAGGCCAAAAGACGATGGAGGAGCATCAAGACTGTCTCGTCTCCATGGCGACAGGCCCCGGGCTGTCTATTATGGGGTGCCTGCGGAAAAAATCAGCAGCCGGGGATGAGCTGCAATCTGAAAGGTTTCGGGGAAGTTGTATCAGAGTCATCGTACCTGAAGCGGCTCCCGGTTTAGGAAACCTGGCGGGGGTTCCGGCGGCGGCTGCGGCTGCAGAGAGAACATCGGAAGGGAGAAAAGAGGGAGGGAGGCGGAGTCCGGATGGCTTCAGCCCAGCGGCGGTGGCCGCGGCGCATGCGGGCGTCTCCGTTCCCTCCCTCTGGGCGCGCCGAGGAAGAGCGGAGGCTCGGTAGGAGGAAGCGAGCGAGCGAGCTAGCTAGCAAGGTGGGCATTAGGAGTAGTAACTACGGCCGTGGCTGCGCGCCTCCTCGGAATAGTGACCGCAGATAAGCCAAGGAATAGATCCCGAGAGAGATTGGGATGATTCACAAGGCTACAAGTTATGCATGTTCCTCTTAAAAGTATTTTCACCTTTGGGTGAATGGCCGCCCTCCGGAGGAAAGCAACAAGGAAGCAGGATCTACTTACACCATCTACTACTACACGATCTAAACGCTACTCTTTGCCTATCGACGAAGTAGAGCAGTCACAGTGGTGTAAACCTCCCGACCTGAGAAATGCAGGCTTTATATCCGAACACAAGGGAGGAAGGAAGGGAGGGAGGGAGGGAAGGAGGGAGGGAGGGAGGGAGGGAGAAAGAAAGAGAAAGAAAGGAAGGAAGGAAAGAAAGAAAGAAAGAAAGAAAGAGAAAGAAGGAAGGAAGAAAGAAAGAAAAGAAAGAAAAAGAAGAAAGAAAAGAAAGATGATAGATAATCAGGGAGCCAACCGTGTCAAGCTACTTCCGTAAAGCTTGGCAAATTACCCACTTGAGACGGCATGATCTCACAAGGAACTTACTGGAATTTCCTCCAGCCTCGAATGTCACAGCTACTGCCACACAGGTTACTCTTCTGCTTCTCCAGTGGCCTAGCCATGGCAGGTTCAGATTCCAGGGGAAACCACTGTCCCGGCTAGGTTGCAATCTGGGCCTTTATAGAGAGGGTGGAGTTGTTTTCAAAATCCGACAATAAAAGAGGCCCAGCTTCATTCCTGTTGTATCTTCTATCTCGAGTAGAGAACCTGACTAGCTCTGTTAACCTACAGCTCCACCCTTCCTGCTTCTCTAGTGAACCACTCCTATTCCCACTTTTTCAGAAACACAGTCTCATTGATTTTCAGCATTTACTCCTATCTGCCAGCACCTTAGAACCCCAGAAAGGCAAAGATGTAGCTAAAGTTTACACATTAATTATGTCTTAGAGACAAAATTGGAGTTCAATGCTTATTTTCTAGCAAGGAGAGAAATGGAGAGCCAGTAATTCCATGACCTTTTGACTGAGAGTAAGCCAGATTCTTCCAAACGGGGTCTCCTCTAGAGATTTGATTAGTGCTAATCGCTCCCACCCAGTCTCAATGGAAGTTGCAGTCCACAGTATATAGAGCAGTGTTTCTCAACCTTGGCAACTTGAAGATGTCTGGACTTCAACTCCCAGAATTCCCCAGCCAGCGAATGCTGGCTGGAGAATTCTGGGAGTTGAAGTCCAGACATCTTCAAGTTGCCAAGGTTGAGAAACACTGATATAGAGAACATCTGGTTGAGAAAGTCTGAAGCTTAAAGCATCCTTTGATTATACAATGCGAAGACGTTAAAAATATCCGTACAGCTGAGTTGTATGGAAAATGTGGTTTAAATATCCATAAGTGAAATCTTCCTTGGTCTCTGCTGTTCTTATGGCCACTCTTATGAAAGTGCGTTGCCATTACAGGCAGTCCTCTACTTAATGACCACAATTGTGCCCAACATTTCTGTTGTTAAACGAGACATTTGTTAAGTGGGTTTTGTCTCATTTTACAAACTTTCTTACCTCAGTTGCTAAGTGAATCACTGCAATTGAGAAGTTAGTAATACGGTTCAGGGAATCTAGCTTCCCCATTAACTTTGCTTGTTCAGAAAGTCACAAAAGTGGGATCACATGATCTTGGGACACAGAAACTATCATAAATAACAGCAGGTGAATTTTGATCACCTGACTATGGAGATGTGGCAATGGTCGTAAGTGTGAAAAATAGTCATTTTTTTCAGTGACATAACTTTAAGTCGTAGACTACCTGTGCCACCTTGTAGATTTTTCTACAGAGGATCAGAGTAAAAGTGATTGAGTCTTTTGCCTATATAGTAGATCTCTAAGCTATGTGAAAAATCTTGTCTGGATATCTTGTCTCCACATCCCCTACTTGCAAATGCTGTTCCTTGTTAACAAGCCGGCTTCTCTCCCCTCCGGAGATAGAAATAGTATCATGCTTCTTTGCAATATTTTTTTTTTGGGGGGGGGGTTCTATTTCCGGCTGAACATATAATGCGGGCTGTCCCATATGGTTGCGCCTAAAGCCCTAATTGCGCAATCTCTTCCTGACAAGTTCCGCAAGCGTTTTGGAGAAATACAAATCACCCGCCTCTTTCCGACCTCCTCAAGATGGAGGAGCCGTCAGTCTGCCTCGCCCACTCAGAGCTTATTTCGACCGAGCCCCTCCTTCCGTCCAATCACACGGCAGTTCAGACCTTCTGGGGTGGGCCTGTGAAGCCTTTCGAGCTCGGATTGGTGAGTTCGGCGGGACGCCTTGAGAATAAGAGTCCTGGAAAGACAGGCGGGAAGTTCTAAATAATGATCCGGTTGTCCGTGGATGCCGCGGTTGGAGAAACGATGGAGGCGGAAGCGACAGCGGTGGAGTAAGTACACGTGATATCTCTTTCGCGGTTGGCTATTCTGGGAGTTGAAAATCCGTACATTTTGAAGTTCCCAAAGTTGAGAAACATTAGTAAGCTGCAGAAGAGAGGCCGAAAGAGTTAGGCAACTTTAGGTTGCAGACTTAGAGAGCTTCCATTCTCCTATGGCTGGTTTCCATATGCTGCATTTGGGAACCTGGTTTAGTAAGATTATGGAGCTTGGCCCCGAAATATAGTTGGTATCACCTCTCTTAGATAAGGAAATATTGAAACTCCTAGCACCAGAATACAGATAAGGATTTTTATAACTTTATTACTTGACGGAACTTTTTTAAAAAAGCAATTCCTGTAGAAAAATAAAATTCCTTGGGGTCTTGTGAATAACACTTCTTCCCATTTTTAGAACAGGAAGTATTATTTAATGTGTGATGCTTTCAGATAATCCCATTACAGAAGCAAAATAGCCATACAACCAACATCTCCATTAAAATCATTACAAAATCTCTTGCAGAAACTACTGTTTTTTTAATCAAGCATCAGTCATGTTAGGTTTATTTTGCTTTATTACATTCATCTAATTAAGTTAGTGCAATGGTCCTTCCCTTCCTCATCCTCTTAAAATCACAGCTTTAATATTTTGGTATTCTCTTCTTGCAATAGCTTTGGGATTGTTAAGTGGCCTCAAAACTTTCTTTTCCATGTATTTTCACAATGAGATACATGTAGCATTTTGTAAAAAATGAGAAATCCCACCATTATAATGGAAAATATCTCTTTGATTCTTCCAGTCAGCAGTCTTAAATATTTGAGGGGCTGTCACCGAGAAGAGGGGGTCAAGGTATTCTCCCAGGCACCTGAAGGCAGAGCAAGAATCAACAGATGGAAATTTTATCAAGGAAAGATTGAACCTAGAACTAAACAGAAATTTGGCAATCTGGCAATGAGATAATAGCAGTTAGCAATAGCAGTTAGACTTATATACCGCTTCATAGGGCTTTCAGCCCTCTCTAAGCGGTTTACAGAGTCAGCATATCGCCCCCAACAACAATCCGGGTCCTCATTTCACTGACTGTTATCTGCAGTTCAGCGGTTCTAATCTCACCGGCTCAAAGGTT